CTCACTGTGTGTCACCTCGACACAAACCTAGACCTCAACCAAAAAGATGCCTCCATCAGATTGCCTCTAGGCAAGTCTGTAGGGCATTTTCATGAATAATTATGGATGTGGAAGGGTCCAGCCCACTGTGGGTAGCACCGACCCTGGACAGAGGGTCCTGAGTTGTGTAATGAAAGCAAGGTGAACAATTCAGGAGGTGCAAGCCTATAGCAGCATTCTTCCGTAGACTGTTTTAGTTCCTGCCTCCAGGTTCCTGCCTTGAGTTCCTCTGATGATGGATCGTGATGTGTAAACAGAAGTCAAATCAATCCTGTCCTCCCCCAGTTGCTTTTGGTCATGTACGTTATCACAGTAATAGAAACCCTAACAAAGACACTGACATATTTTTTTAAAAAACAACATAATCTTTTTATGAATTATCTACCATTATCTCAACATTTTCTCAATTAATTAAGTCATAAACTATTGACCACCTCTTCATTCTCCAGACATTTAGAAAAGCATATAAACTGTGTAAGAGGAATTCTCGCTTCTCTCAAAAGTTGAAAAGCTCTGCCAGTCCTGAATTTCCATCCTAATATCCCAACAAAACAAACTTTGCAGCGCAGTTTCATGTGGAGACTTGTTGATGTGAAACACTGCATTTTTCTGCACACTGGCTTCTGGTCGCATGTGCTTTATAACTTGTTTCTCACCATCTTTTGTGTGCTGCCTTTTAAGTTACAAGTCACAGCTCTGAGTGAATTATCACAATGAGCAGGAGAATTTTCTGGGAGTCGTTTAATCAATCATGCAAATGATTGAAAACAATGGAACTAGGTTCCATTAAACACAGAGACTAGAGAGTTGGCTCAGCAGTTAAGAGTGCTTGTAGTTCTTCAGAGAACCCAGACTTGGGTCTCCAGCACCCATGGGCTGGCTTGTAGCTCCAGGGAATCAGGCGCCCCCTTCTGGCCTCTGAGGGCAGTTGCACACATGTGCACATACACACACACAGATACATGAATAAAAAGTAAAACAAAACGTATCCCAACTCAACTGTCAAAACTGTCAATTTGGATTCTAGGAATACCTGTAGCTACTTGGTGCCACCCGTTCCCAGATGGAAAATGACACTGTCAGAGAGGAAATCAAAGTAAAAAAGATGCAGCGACTACCAGTGACAGATACAACGTTCTTTCTTTTGTAAAACAAACACAAACGTATGGCCTAAGAGGACCTAGGCAAGATTCTTGTCTTTTCCTGAAAAACCAGAAGAGCTGACGGTGTTGGTGCTCCCTGCCCTCAGGACACAGTCCCCTGGAGCTGGGTTGGCATACCCTTCTGCCAGGGCGCTTGTCCTCCACTGTACCCAGAGCAGCTGGATTCGAAACTCTGCAGCCAAGCCAGACTGCAGGTGGCCTGCTTCCCTGGCCAAAGGACAGATTTTTGCCAGGGCTTTCGAGTGACAGCTGTCCGTCTCTTGTGGAGATTAAAATGGAGAGAACTGTGTGTCGAGGCAACCAGTCCATCTACCAAAATAGTCCGTCTTAATTGGAGAACTGCCCCCCAGACTACTCATTAAAATCCAACCCAGCGAGGGGAAGAACATCTCAGCAAAGCTCCGCGGTGGGGGAGGAGGAGGGGCGGGCTGTCGACGGAGGAGGATGCGGGGGCCCTCTAGTGGGAGCTGCTGTTTCTCTGGCCCTTTCAAGATGAATAAGGTGGTTTGGAGAGCGGCAGCCTCTCAGAGGTACAACGCCTGCCTGTAACTCGGGGAGCAAGGAAAAATCTTCGGTGGCTGCACGGGTCAGCGGGGCTCTGCTGTAAGCTGAGGTGGTGAGAGGCGGAGTTCCCAGAGGGAGACCCCTCTCTCACGCACTGAAAACCAGTTAAGGACTAATTAGGTATGGTAACTCACTGGCAATGCGAACGGTGTTCTAAGAGAGCTTCCTGGAACCTAGAAGTCGGCCCAAAGGCAGTCTTATTTTATAATTATGGCAAACTTCAATACATAAAGTGCTCCCCTACGCCTTTAGCAGTTACCAGCGCAAAGGCAGTCTGCCACCCAGCCCCCACCTCTCCCTTTGCATACTGTTGGAGAATGAGTCCTCTGAGAAAATGGTCTTTGAAAGACAGAGGCCACCCCCCCCCGCCCCCCAACTCCTCTAATGTTGGCGCCACCAGTTTATTGGATAGTTCGTTTCAATCATCAAGCATGTATGTTTTGCACTTTGCATGTCCCTTTGCACACCAGAAGAGGGCATTGGATCCTGTTCTAGACGATTATGAGCTGCCATGTAGATGCTGGGA